GATGGCATTCCTCTCCAGGGCCTCAGCGTGTGTACGTGTGTGTGTGTGTGTGTGTCCGTGCGCGCAAGGGAGGGGAGGGGGGGCGCTGCGACTGCTCCCTTTTGTTGTCCCACCCTGCCGCTCTAGGCAGCCGAGCCGGGGGGACACCGCTTTTTCGATGGATCCCGAGTCCCTTCTATCCCGGACCGCCCATCACCCTTCCCCCTTTCCCCTTCGCTCTATTTTCCCGCCCCCTTTGGCTTGTCCCCCCCCCCCCCCCCCCCCCCCCCCCCCCCCCCCCCCCTCCCTCCCCCTCTCCCTCCCTCCCCCTCTCCCTCCCTCTCCATGTTCCCCCTTCGCCTGTCCATCGACAGGGGCTCCCTTCCCTCTCCCATTACCTTACCTTACTCCTTACACCCCCCTCTTCCGCACTCCCAGACTCTCCCTTCGCCCTTGGCTTTCAAACCGAGGTCTCCTTCGGCAACTTCGAGGCGTCGGTGGTTTTCATCCGCCGCGGCCCGGCGGTCGTGGTCGGCAAGGCCCTGGCCGCCCAAATCCACCTGCTGAGTCTCAACGACTCGTCGCCCTACGAGATGTTGCACTCCTACATCCACAATGCCGTGTCGCCGTACTTCAACACATACGCGGCGGCCAGTGCGGCCATGGCCGGGCCGGAGGCCGGGTCCGCGGCGGCCACCGCCGCCGGGGGTGCCCCGGTCCCCGAGTCGCGCTCCGGCGTGCCAACCGTCAAGAAGAAGCTCGCCGAGCTGGAGCTCTCGCTGCGCCACCTGAATGAGCATATCCTGGTGCCGGAGATCCAGCTGGTCCTGCATCCGGTCATCGAGGCGGCGGTGGCGCGCGCCCGCGCGGCCGGCCACTCGGAGGTTGGCATCCGCCATATCGAGCCCGCCTCGCTGGTGGAGGACCGCGAGAGCCCGGCCTCCAAGGCCTTCTTCGCCAGTCTGCAGGACACCCTCAACAACTGGGTCAAGGAAATTCGCAAGGTGACCTTCGCCACGCATGACCCGGCTCAGGGTGCCGCGGCCGAGGAGGTTTCCTTCTGGGAGAGCGTCGACGCGGAGCTCGCTCGTCTGGAGGTCTTCCTCAACAGCGACGGGGTCAACCTGACGAAGGAGGTTTTCCGCTACTCGAAGCGCGTGAATGTCATCCTGAACTTCGACACGGCCATCAACTTCAAGAGCGCCCAGGACCAGGGTATGTCCCTGGACCAGTTCCGGGTGTCGCCGCGTTCGGCTGCCTGCCAAAGCAGCCCCCCCCCCCCCCC